TTTGTATAGCTCATCTTTATCATGACGAAACAGAGATCTAAGCTATTTGAGACGAGAATACTTTTCCCCCCCACTTTTCATCTCATGTCATTCTGATGTGATAATATCGAAACCTGGTTCTACTACACAGAAGCTTACTTCTACTGGCACGGTGTGGTAGACCCACGGTGTAGGCACTACCGCGCGATTTGAACAGGTGTGCAACACCTAGTATGTCCACAAGTGATGTTTATGAATCTTATGACACGTGGGGACCTAATAAACTGACAAAGTTTAAACCAGCTGTTCGTAGCGACGCGGCTCAGTAACAAAGATTTTTCCACTTGTGAGGGAGGTCACAGGTCAACGGACTTTTGACGAGGGCCCGTCCGGAAAGCTCTCCTTGTCAAGGCTTTCCCAACAGGTGCAAGTAGTTTTTGTTTCATTTCGAAATAACGCTGTAGACAAAGTGGTTACATCTGTCATTGTATTCGGGAGATAACAAGGACCCCGAACGTCATGGTCTATTCTGTCAAAGAAAAGCCTCAAATGACACAAAATGACCTTACGGATCTCTGTCATATGCTCATGTGTTATCTTATACCCTCTCAAACGCCTCAAAGAAACTCGTCACGAAAAAGATCTGCCTCTAGGCAATAAGAGTCTGGTAATCCTGTTTGGTTTACCCACGACACACTCCAGCGACATGGGCCTTACAACTACGATACCCCACCCGATAATCAGTAATCACGAGGAAATTTCTCTGCAATTTGACAATCCGTCTAAAACAACGTGCTCCGGAAGGAGAGCCTAGAATACTGCACAACATTTTGTTTTATCTCGTCTTTTTATTGTTGCGTCAAAAAACAAACTGGAAACAATTACTATTTTTCCTAAATTTTTCATATATTTGTGTAAGTAGTGAGCGAAAAAATTTTTATTTAGCAGTACGAATTTATACCGGTTGGTCATTTTTCATTCTCGCGTTCTATGTCCATACGCACGTACACGTGTATTTTGATATGCACTTTGGGCGACTGAATAGCGACTGAATAGCACAGGCTATGTCGTTTAAGGTAATCTATACCCTTGATATAATTTGTTTTCCTCCATAAGTTAGGCACTGAATTTGAGTTTTTATGCGATTGAATATTAGTCACTCAAAAACGCTTCGTAAGCTATACAGAAGAATGTAGTCCAGTCTTATCAACCAGATTTGTTCGTGAGCACTCTGTTCAGATAAAACACTAGGATTTCGGCGGTTACATTCAGTTGAGGTCAGATCAAAGGACTGTAAAGCAATTACACTGAACGAACCCACAAAACAACTTGTCAACTTCAAGTCATCTAGCTGAAAAGCTATCAGTGATAGAGTCCCACGTGGTACAGTCATCAGACAAATAATATTCCTCTTGTATCCAACTGACTATCCTAGTCTCCTATAATCGGTTCTGCTATATGCTGACGATATCAAGATATGAGGTACTGCGGGAAACGGAGGTGACATATTGAAGCTTCAAAGTGACTAGCAAAATTTATCTGAATGTCCTAGAATTTGGTAGTCACTGATGAATATTCACTGATAACATCATGAATCATATTAGTTGCTAAGAAACTGATAAATGCACACTAAATGAGGTTGAGTTCCCTGTGGCCCATACACGCATTGGCCCAGAGGTCTTCGTCATCTATTATTTGAAAACCATTGCGCACTGCCCTGAAAAAGCTGTCATCCTTTAGGATTTCGAATACAATATACGATCACCCTTAAGTCTAGTGTTTTGAAGTAGAAAAACAGCTCTTGTCCAGAAAAGACAAATTCGTCGGAAGCGGTTTGGTTGGTCGCAACCAAGTTGATTTCCGGTGTTCGAAAACTACGGTGTGATTAGAGACTGGAGAAACGAAGCCTATCCCACTTGTCATATAAAACAATCTAATGTGATTTGATCACAGTTTCTAGAGTGCTTAATAATAGTTCTACATCTGACAAGACTTCAAATTTCTTGTCTTCTGAAACAGGGAATCAATGAAGAAACTGCGTAATAGTTCGCAGGTTTATAATAGACGACATGTCATTGAGTAAAACGTTTTACATCAACATGAATTTATAGATCCATCTACCGACAGGTCCTAAAGAAAGTTGAATAAACTTTGAGACTCCTGTCCAAAAGGTTTATGAAACCCAGTAAACATTTTTTTCGTTCCTCAACTGAAATTGAAATAAAAACCGGAAACAATCAGACCCAAATAATTAATCTCTAACGAAAACTACGTCAGATTAAGCCTTTAGTGCAATTCCTGATTCCATAAAACGCAATCAAATAAAATACAAAAAAGAATCCGTCCAGACAGTATGTCAGTTTAGTTTCCGTTATTGGATAAAGCATTGGAGAACAGATTTGTGATTTATTGGATATTGACCTGAACTGTAGTCGGAAGCCGCTCGATTTGCAGGGTTTGTTACAATGTTCGAACGAGTCCTCATAATTCAGGTTGTACATATTTGGAAAAATTTTTCAAAGGACTTTCAGTTCACTGTAATCAAGTCATGGCCTAACAGTTTTTGAGGGCTGTGTTCTGTGAGTATATCTATATTCTATCTTCAAAGTAACCTTGACCAGTAGATAGTGGCTCTGCTAACTTAGACTGATCGGTTGCAGTAGTACAGGTTGATTACAACTAATTAACATATGCAGTAAAAATAGCATTATTACTTGGTGATCCGAGAACGATTGAATATGGAAAATAAATTTTAAAATAATTGTTTCCGATACATATAGTTGTGAAACAAATGTACATTCGTGTTAGCCGCACATAAACAGACTATAAATTCTATTACCCAAAGTCATTAATAAGCTGTGTGTAGTGTATACAAACAATAGAAGAGAGCTCTACACGGTTTAGTTATTTGGTATTTCTCATAATACCTTCGCATATTTATCTTAAACTGACTCTTCGAGTAATAACTGATATATTGTTATCATCTATTAGTCTTGTTTCTTACAATAATGGCGTAAATTTGACACATGGTTGGTGATGCGTTCCTAAGTGCCTGTCAGGTGATGCAATGTACTTATTGAACATGGTTCAAATTGTTCTGGACGGAATAGAATCTTTCGCTTAACGGGCTACTGTATCTAGTAACAGTGGATCACCGATACCTCCAGGTAGGAACCTAGATATACTAACGATAAAAGAAGGGCAATAAGAAAGTTGGCAAATCGACTTACCAACTTTTCTCTATGATCATAGTAAGATACTGTCCTTAGTCGTTAAGAATGTCAGTTCTTCTCCTGCGAAGTCGCCTGAACCAGCTCAGCTGGCAGCAAATTCCAGAATTTGACTACTCTTAAGGAGTAGAAGGTGTGTTTATGATCTGTTCTACTGTGTTGTCTTCAGTTTCCGGGCATTACCCCTAAGGTTTGTGTTGGGACTAAGTTCAAGTAGGTATATATGGGGATGTGCAGAAGTGTCAAGGATGTTGTAGGCCATTAGAAGGTCACCTCCAAGACGCTTGTACTCTAATGGGTGAGAGTTCAGTAGTTGGAGGCGCTCTTCATATGGCTTTAATTTGAGTCCCCGAACTGGTCCCGTGGCTCACCGTTGGATACGTTCCAGAGTGTCCTTATCCTTTTGGAATGTGGGAGAAAATACTATGTTTTCGTAATCTAAATGGGGACAAGTAAAACTGTTGGAGATGGTGTAGAAATTTCCTCCGTCGAACTGACCGGAAATGAGCTTCAAAGTTACTAGTGCAAGGTTTGCTCGGAGGGCATTTTTGTCACAGTTGGCGTAACACTTTAAATCATAGGGTACCAACACTCCTAGATCTTTCTCAACTTGCGATACCTCTAGAGGGGAGTTGCATAAGTTGTAGTCTGCAAAATGTATCACATGGACTACTTTACACTAGGAAGTGTGAAAGGTAAGCCTGTTGTCATCTGCCCACCTTTAGAGTCGAGTCAGATCCTCCTAAAGTGCCAGTTTACCGTCTTGGTTACGTACTTCTCTCCAGAGTTTCACATCATCAGTGAAGAGCAATAAATCTGACGATGCCTGCTTTAGAAGATCGTTTACATAAATAAATAAATATAGGTCCTAGTACTGAACCCTGGAGGACCCCACCAGGGCATTCCATAGCCTGAGAGTAAGTGAAGTGAACCCTGACCTTAAAATGTCGATATTTTAAATATAAGGTGAGCCAACAAATTAAAGGTGATTTGATACCTAGTTGTTTGAGATTATTGATAACACATATGTGGTTGGCCCCATCAAAAGCTTTTGAGAAGTCATAGTATATGACATCAACCTTCCCTTTGCAATCAAGGATGGCTGTCCAGCTCTCTACCACAGTCAACAGGTTGGCTATACAAGTGTGACCTTTTCCGAAACCGTGCTGTTGGGGGTGAAAAGAAGTTTATGGATAATGAGTAGTCGTGTATACCGTCGCATATCAGGGACTCCATAATTTTTGAGGGTATAGAGAGAAGTGCTGCCGATCGGTAGCTTGAAGGTTCGCTGCGAACTCCTTCGAAAATTGGTGTGGTGTGAGCCAACTTACAAATTTCCGGTGATGTGCCTCGACTTAGCGAATGTGAGAACATAACGCTAAGCGGTATTGCCAGGATTGAAGCTGCTTCTCTCAGTATAGCAGAATATAAACTGCTATATTCTCTGATTGGTTTAAGCATTCTTACTGTCAATTATGAGCCATTGTTTCGGACTCCACGAAGTCTGGGCATCTAAGTATTGTTATCAGTCAATAGTCGTTTATCCAGATATATATTTTTTCTGAGTCACGTCCCGCATACTTTCCGTTTAGGATTTACTGTTTAATCCGTACCGCGTTTCAGAGAATCGAACTTTTTCCATAACAGCTATTGTTCTTTATACCTTTCTCCCAATACCCAAGTCCCAGTTATATTCAGCATGTAGCTCAAGTGTAGCTTTAGAATATTAACCTTTTTTCATTTTTTTTATATCCTTTAATGTTCAAAAATGAAGTAAGTGCATCTTATGATATGGAAAAACGCGAACTTTTGCGTGAGGCTACTAGACGTCCTTTAGATGATGCAGCTAAAGAGAGGAGACAGAGAAAAACTCTTAGCTTGTTGGAACAAGATAATCACATTGAAGAACCCCACTCAGATGTGAAAGGAACGAAGAGACCACAATTTGGAGATGAGGTTTGGATAGTTCTTTAGCATCAGTTTACCACTTTTCGTTTTAGGATGAAGATATTTCAGCCAACAATAAGCGCCGAAAAAAGAAACGCATATCGAATATTCGTGCACGCTGTAGGAAAACGTTTGAGATTTTACTGGATGAAGAATATCAAGCAACGAAAGGAGGAACTACTGGTCCCTGCTATTTTACGGCTGCCGTTCCTCCGAGCAGGCTACCCAGGAGGAAGTTTTGTAATGTCTGTGGTTTTCAAGGTCTATATAACTGTATAGTTTGTGGTCTACCATACTGCAGTAGGAAGTGTTATGAAATACATTCAGATACGCGGTGTATGAAATGGGTCGCTTAAATAACCCTCGTGATATTACGATCACTTGTAAATATATTTTAATCCTTAAACATGAGCTTTAACAGATTTTTTTTAGATATATTTGTATGTTCCGTATTCTATATCGCACTTATAATCCTGGCTTATAGTTAAGCTTCATTCGTGCATTTGGTGAATTACGATTATGTTATCCACGTTACCGTACGTAATATTTTCTAACTATAGTGTTAAACAGTCATTTCGATATACTTTCTGTCTGTCATAACTTGTGACCCATGTGCCCTGTTAATGTATGACGCGATGATAACGCTAATTAGAGAGCAATGAATTATCGACCGGACCAATGACACATAAAGCCCGTGCGAGCAGTCTAGAATACTTATCGGTCCTGCTTCCTTCCTATCCCAGCCAGTTAAGTCCAAAACACCAATCTCAGCCTCTGCGGTATGAATCATTTATTTCAACCATACCGGGTTTATATACCAACCAGACAGACCACACTGTACCATAAAATATGAAACAACATTTGTACAAGAATTAGCCAAATGTGGTTGTGAATGTAGGAGATAGTAATTGCTAGATAGGGCATAATTCAAGAATGGTAAACCGTGTAATATTAATTCATGGGTCAAAATAGAGCTCATAATAGGAGGGACATGAATATGTATAGTTTAATTATTTAATAATTATACGATAAAAATATACGCATAGTATTGGTCCATAAATGGATCCCAAAAGTTGCCATTCATTTTTCTTATCGGGACATAACACTGTCTTCTAAAATTAGGGGTTATTCAATAATGATAGTGTTTGCTTTATTGAATGATAATTAACTATGAAGAACAACTCATTAACTACCCATATGTCCGTGAACTTTCTCTGAACAACATTTGTTGGTTAGGGGCTAACAATATGCCCTGACTACCCAAAACTTAACAGATATATCTAATTCATGTCTACTACCCGACGGTTAAATAAATGATCCAGTCTGCTAAGTACGAGATTTGTCGTTAAACTGTGCATGGAAAACCACCTATACTAGTTCATGAGGTGTTACATTTCAGTTACTTACACGCACCGTGTGCACATGTGGAGTTGATTGGTAAATTTCTCGCGTCTACGTTTCCTAAGCCCAATATAGTGCTTTGCGTATGATGATTCTTAATCTCCTGATATATAGCAAATTACGTTCCCTCTTGTGTTGTATATACTAGTCAATAGTGTATATTATCCGAGATTACGCCTAATTTTTGAGTAGGATAAGTCTTTCACATGTTTATAAATAAAATTAGTGAGAGCGTAACGATTATTAAGATTATTCTATTAAGAAATGTATTTATAACTACCTGATCGTAGCTAATCCCTTCACTAAGTGGTCGGGCTTGTGTGCTGTGGTGACTCAAGAGAGTTATGTTGGGTGAAGCATGTCATCTTGAGATTCTATGCAATATCACATGTTAAATTCATCGACCAGAAACCCGATAATAGTTTTTTATATTTCGCGTCAACTATTCCGTACATAGGTATCATTACTAAGGTTTGACTTAATAATTTCAAATAAAATGAGCGTTGGGTAGATCGCTATAAATAAAAATAATATATTCGTAATATCCAAATGAGTAGAAAATTAGATCTTTCTGGCGTTTCGTGGCTCAGTGTGAGCTACTTCTGGGAATCAGAAACATCTGATTTTCTACTCATTGGGATATTACAAATATATTATTTTTATTTTTATTCCGTCCATAGTCTAGCGTTGTAGACTTGACCAAGCATACGTTATGACATGCACAGTTAACCTTTAGTTTATGTATGCTACAATCCTATTGGTTCACCTATATGCAAGCTTTTCTCTGTACTTCGCCTTGAGTCCAAAGAGAAGTCATTAACTAGGCTTTTATCATTACTTATTTCAAGCACATGTGGGTTTATACACAGATGTATTGGACCACATTACACTATAAAATAAATTAAGAATATTAGCTGTACAATAACGGTTAGTGAGTTAACAGAAAAAATTAAACGGAAGTTAGAATGGGTATTTCAGTTATACAGTAATTACTCAATAGGAGTGTATACAATATTGACCCATAAAATAGTTACGGAAGTTACTATTATTCCAGTCTTTGCTCTGATACATCAAAACCCTTGTTCCTTTGGGTACTACCATGTCAGAAAGGCTTGTTAGGAATTGATAGTACTAAAAGCAACAACCCTAAGTCCGACAGCGTAGTCGTATTGCCGATGGTGCTAAAGTAAAACAACAGCGGGGTGTTTCCCCAGACAGCCATTATTTACATTAACACTGCATTCTTAGAATAAAGAGAAGGGGCTAGAGGAGATAACACACCTCACCCCATGAATTTCCATTGCTGGGGGTAAACCCGTTAAAGTGCGGATTTAACACACCAAAGACTGAAAATTAGTTTGTGGCCCACCCCAGGAAGTTGTCATTCGGACTCTGGAACCGCGCCCCCACACCAGAATTTTCTAACCATCTCTGTTCTGGGCCGTCCCCGCCAGTTGTTTAAAATCGCTATTCATTCTTTTGATGTACCTCCCATTCCCAACGCTATGTGTCCCTTGGTATTCCTCCTTTTCTTTTCCCTTCATGATGCCAAGTTAGGACTTGCTTCGTGATGCAGTTTAATGGTTTCCGCAATGTATGTCCTATCCACCTTCGACATCTTTCCTTAATTTATCTTCCAGATGGAAGTTGGTTTGTTCTCTGTCACAGTAGGTTGTTGCTGATGGTATCCGGTCAACGGATCTTGGTTACTCTGCGTAGACAATTGTTTATAAATACTTGTACTGTTTCGATGATGGTTGCAGTTGTTCTCTAAGTTTCAGCTCCGTACCAGATTACTGAGATCGCTGGTAATCCAGTTTCTTTTTCAGGTACATCAGGAAGAAGGATCTTTCTGTTATATGGTCGACCGAGAAATAGTAACCTCCCGCACACCATTAACTAAGCTTATTTACTTCAATTTGCCCAGGTCGACAGAATTCGATCGTCACTAAGTTCTAGAAGAGCACGATATTGGTTACTACTCAGCGGTCATTCATTGTAACAATCTAAATCCTGCGTGTTAGTCGCGGCTCAAATGGCTTATTAATAACGCATTTGACGATGGCACTGGGTTACTCACGTTCGAATTTCATCTTGGGGATCAATTTCCTCTAAATTTCAAGTGTGATGTGCTGGCAAGTTCCAGCTAGTTAAAAGCTTATGTTCAAGTTTCCTGGCAATTACCGTCAACAACTGAGTTCAGACATGCCAGCATTCCATGGTTTCTATTTTTCATGAAAGTTGGATGACGTTTGTCTCAACTGATGCCATACCGTTTTTCAAGTTTAAGTTGATTCACATTCGTATGAGGACTTATAGAGCATCATCATGTGATATGATACTGACGATCCCCATTGTCACTACTCATGTTCAAATTTGTCACAGATATAATAGTGTAAGTGATTACAACTACTTTCGGTTTTATTGTATTGATTTCCCTTGCTCATGGTTTATCATTCAAGTCGTAAGCTGATCGGTTCTGTTGGTGAGCGTGACTTTCGAAAGTTTTGCGTTATCATCTGTATTACTTAAATCGTAGTAGGTAGCATGCAATTTGAACATAATTTTCTTTTAATCATCCATCAAGCTATCAAAGCTAATCGACATACATTGTATCCATAAATAGATAACACGAGTTAGTCATTACTGTTTCCGTTATCCATTTTTTGTTCATTGAATACTTCTATTCATTTTGGCAATAATAATACTGTACCAGACAATTAGGTTCAAGCATCTGGTGGTGTTGACTTTCCATCAGTAGTTATTCTCATTGTTTGCAAATATTGAAGTGCATATATCCGTCTCATATAAGTAGTAATGTCATATGCAGAATATTTGTTTGAAATTGCAGTTTTGAACTTTGGTACTGATCTATTACAATGGGAAATACTGAGTTGCTTGAAATTTATATGGTGAATCATAGAAGGTATCAAGTGAGCATATCGTCAGTTAACCCTAAAGCATCTAGCTATATTGCTACTTTCGGTACATAAAAATCATCGTGCAACTGATTCCCTCGATAAATTTAAGTAAAAAGTGAATCCAATTGTATCCTGCAAATATTTTTATTGTCTTTTCTTAAGCACATATATAAAAAGTGTAGTGCAGCACATCAACGGGTAACTGGAAAACTAAATTATCTATTCAGAATTAGATTAAATAGGATTTATCAGTAACATTGTGATGTATATTTATTTCTTTTGGTCAATAATTTATCGACTTGTACCTTCAAATTTCATGTTATATTTGAACCTTGATTTCATATTGTCTATCAAACGGTTTGTTAGTAGTGTCTGGATTACTAAATATTGTAAAAAACTTGTCTAGAATGTTCACGTAAAGGATTGGATACTCTTGATGAACATACATACATATAATTGATAAGCGCAAACATTGCAATGACAACTTTCTCAAAGATGTAATAAAGGAAACAGTTTAGTCGCTTCATATGGCATCTTTATCTACAGTTCGTTCTAAAGGCAAATGGTTTTCATATACTTTTATTGTCAGAGATTAGTTAAATACTGTTTTATCGTAAAAACACATTTGGTAATTTCCCTAGCAATATCAAGTGCCTTCTCTTTGTGACAAGTGTTTGATGAGCTGATGGAGATTTTATTAAAGAATTAATCTTACATAGTGAATGACCCAAATTGTTACTTTAAGACTATCTATTATATCACAGTTTTACTATTAATTTCCAGACAACGTGTTTTACAGATCACTTTCGAAAGCAGACACATTTTTTCTCCTTTTATGTTATATAAGTCACAATGAGGTTTTTATATAAAGGAAATTAAGAATTGTTATGTATGTAAGTGTCCTCTGAGTGCTGACTTGCACTTAGTACTTAAAACCCTGGTTCTAACGAAGCTTAGTTAAGACACAAACAGTACTGACATGGATTTATTTGACGACGGAAATAAATTGCAATAGTATGTGAATACACCACTTT